TATTTTTTCTTTATCTAAGTTATTAGCAGTAGGGGCAACCCCTCCTGATCCCTCAAAAAAAAACATTTCTTGTTTCAGAAACAACCAACTGAACCAATAGCTGTCTATCTAACCTCAAATTATTTCCTTAGATAAGTATTGACATGTATTAGTATTATGCTTGACCTATCATGAGCTCAATCAGATCTACTGTGTAACAATCTGACAATGTTTCAAACAAACAGCAATCATCCATCAACTCTACATATTTACAACAAAAACCATGCTTTGGCATTGGATTGGTAGGTTTCATAGTGCTAAGTTTCTTGAAGAAAGGTAGTACTAGAAAAAACGTAAAACCATTCCCATCCTTTTTCCCTGCATCCGGTTTGAACTTTACATGCCCCCAGGAAGTGAAATTGTGGGACATTGTTATGTTGATTGATGATGAAGAGCAAATACATGTCAGGTATAGTAAAGTGTTCCCAACGGGACACATTTTGCTGGTAAAACTTGAAGGGGCTTAAAGAAAAGGGAAGGGTAATGTGCCTTCACATAACAAAATTTTTAATCAGATTTAATGAGCACACATACTTTTTATCTTCGCTACCTAAACTCAATCAGAAGAATTCGAACCAAATAGCAGCTATCCAGCTCATCGCAGGCCCTTGGACCATGTTCAAAATACAAGCCCCAGACAATGATCCAATCCCAGCTTATAATGTAGCCATAAATCAACATGATTCACTAAGTTAGCCCAACATAGGTTTAAGAACATATTGACATAATCACATCTACACTAGGGGGATGCAATTGGTACTAAGTTAGCCCAACATAGGTTTAAGGACATATTGACATAATCACATCTACACTAGGGGGATGCAATTGGTTAATTTGAAAACAGTACCCAAATTAATAATGCACACAACCATAGAAAATAACAACAATCATCAGCGGAGGCATAACAACAGATACATTTTATCTCTACTAGCTATTTTCTATAACATGGTATTTTCTTATTTTCTTTGTTTCTTTTACATTTCTTAGAACCGTGACTAGGGGCTCATGTTGGGTTTCAACTCTAGCCTACCCCAACATGCTTGGGACTAAAAGGCTTTGTTGTTGTTGTTCTTTTACATTTCTTAAACTCTGCTTTGTATTCTGCTATCTTTTTTTGTCTATGTTTATTAGCAGTAAGGGGCAAACCCTCCTGATCTCCCAAAAAAAAACATTTCTAGTTTCAGAAACAACCAACAGAACCAATAGCTGTTTATCTAACCTCAAATTATTTCCTCGGGCATGTATTCACATGTATTATGCTTGACCTATCAAGAGCTCAATCAGATCTACTGTGTAAAAACCATGGCACCTGACCATGTTTCAAACAAGCAGCAATCATCCATCAACTCTACATATTTACAACAAAAGAAACCATGCTTTCGCATCTCAGTGGACTGGTAGGTTTTAAAGTGATAAGTTTGTTGAAGAAAGGTAGCACTAGAAAAAACGTAAAACCATTGCCCTGCATCCGGCATCCGGTTTGAACATTACATGACACCAGGAAGTCAAACTGTGGGATATGGTTATGTTGATTGATGATGAAGAGCATATATATGTCAGGTATAGTAAAGTGTTCCCAAAATGCACCCCCCCCCCCCCACACACACACACCCACACACCCACACACCACCACCACCACCTATGAGCTCAGTCAGATCTACTGTGTAAAAAAAACCATGGCATTTGACTAAGCTTCAAAGAAACAGCAATTATCCATCAACTCTACATATTTACAACAAAAGAAATCACGCTTTGACATCTAAGTGGATTGTTAGGCTGTAAAGTGCACAAGTGGCTAAGTTTCTAGAAGAAAGGTAGTGCCAGAAAAACATAAAACCAGTTTCCAAACTTTTCCCCTGCATCCAAGAACTTTATAGTACCCCAGGAAGTGAAACTGTGGGATATTATTCAGATTCTGTTGATGAAGAGCATATATATGATAGGTATAGTAGTGTTCCCAAAATGCTCCCCACCCTCTTTGTGGGAAAAAAACACATGATAATATAGATACAACAGTTTTCAAACTACTTAGTATGACATGTAAAAAGACACAAAGGAAACCAAAGATCCTTTCCAAAAGAAAAAATGACACATTTTTCTGCTAAAACTCCAACAAGGGGCTTAAAAAGGAAAGGCTAATGTGTCTTCACATAACAAAAATCTTTTTATCAGATTCGATGAGTACAGAACGATGGGCCATATGGAACTAAATGTTGCCAAGAAACAGTTCACCTCAGAGGGGCGACTCTTTTCTTGTCGAGCATTTACATTGTGCAGTTTTCTTCAGTTTTAGTATAAATCAATTATCCTTGGGCAGATAAGTAACATCTTTCTCCTCCTAAGAAACTTGCTCATCTAAAAATTTAAACTTGATTTAAATATTCCTCTGGTGTCCACGGGTCACCATTGCTTAAAAGGCATGAACAAATGATGCCTACAGCCTACTATCTGCAACTAGCCTCAGCAGCTAATCAATTCAATTTAACCATTATTTCTCTGCTGCACATAATTTCAGCATAAGATCTGATCAGCATCAAAAAAAAAAAAAGATGGCTCATCCCAAGTCCCAAGTCTGTGGTGAATACGAACCAATGTTTGGCTAAGCTACAATCTAACATCAAGGTCATACTACTTCTGAAAGTTACCAGTAGTATAAACTGCACAGAACAAACAAGCATATTCTTAGTTGCTTGTTGTCCTGAATGTAAAAATTCAGGTGTCCTTACAAAACACAAGTCACAAGCACACAAGCCACAATCATATTCTTAGTTGCTTGTTGTCCTGAATTTGAGAATTCAGGTGTCCTCACAAGTCACAAGCACATAAGCAAGGTATTTAGTGGTAGCGTCGAGTTATCAGCCACAGAAATGATCTACCTTACGGCTCATGTACTTGTTATCAATATATTGCCAGGTAGAGGTTAGAGCCATGAAAATTCTGGAAGGCCACAGTGAACAAACAATGTCGGTATTTGTGGGCGGAATCGGGGGTTGAGGGCGAACCTGGACCAGGTAGTAGAAGATCCGGAGGCCCTCCGGGTCCTTGCTGGACTGGACATCGACGAGGGAGCCGATCTTGGAAGTGGTGAATGAAATGTGCTCGTTGCCCATAACGATCTCGAGCTCCTGGCGGCCGATGCGGTCAGGCTCCGGCCAGTTGCTGTCGTCCTCCTTCATGATCTGCGGCGGGGGTTGGGAACAACCAACCAATCAATCAAAAAATAAATCCGCTCTTCAGTCTCAAACCCTAGCTAGGTCTTCGCGTGAGACCGAGAATCCAATCGCTGATGAATGAACAAGAAAGTAAAAAAGGGAGCGCCCACATACATCGGACTCCTGGATGATCCTCCTGGCCTCGCGGAGGACGGAGGGGGAGACGAAGACCTCCTTGCGGATCATGGTGTCATTCTTGTAGTTGGAGTTGTTGGCGTAGCGGAGCTTGCCGTCGGGGCGGAACTCGAACTCGAGGAACTCGTGCCCGAACTTGCCCTTGTGCCCCACGTAGTACCGCAGGTAGAACTCGCCCTCGCCCGCGCCGCTGTTCTCGCCGCCGGCCGCCGCCATCGATTTCCTTTTTTTTTTTCCTACCCTTCTCGGCGATTGGAATGGAACTGGATTGGGGTTTTGGCCGCCGCAAACGTGCACGCCTTCTCTTCCAGTCTTTCCTCCTCTCGTGTGGACTAATCTGCAAATATCCATCAATCTGGGCCGCACATCTCTTGACCTATCGGGAATTTTGTTTTTTATTTTTAACATTTTTTTAAACTAATTTTAAATCAAACACTGTTTTATTTTTTTTCTTCAAAACTAACACTTTTGGCCGCGCCTATTTCCCTGGCGCGGCGAAACGCCTGTACCGCGCGCATGTATGGTGGCGCGGCGAGAGGGATGACGTGGCCACGACCGGGGCGTTGACCGGTGACGTGGCAGGGTCTGCCGCGCCACCGATCTTGGCGCGGCAGTGACGCGCCCTGATCGGTGGCGCAGCAGAACCGACTAAAGGCCCACGGTCCAGTCCCGCTTGCCTGCCGCGCCTGGCCGCCTGTCCGTCGCGCCTTCGCGCTCGCCGCGCCTGCTCGCCGCCTCGTTTGCCTGCCCGCCGGACCGGTGTGTCGTGCTCCAACAAAACAATAGTTATCATCACCTAACAGAAGATCGGGATCCCCGTCCTCATCACAATTAGTTAACATCTCAGTGCAAAAACCATTAGTATAGAGTAATTTTGTGCAAATACTGCGCGTGTATTAGTGAGTAATGACATGGCCCCACGCCACGTGTTAGTGTCATGGTTGGGAAGGTTATATGGATCGAACCAATTGAGAGGTACTAAATCTGTTCTAAATTATAGTTCGTCTGACTTTTTTTATCTTAAGTTTGATTACTCGTCTTATTTAAAAATTTATGCTAAATATCACTTTTTTGTTGTGGCTTGCTTTATTAATAAAAAATTCTTCAAGAATAATTTAAATTTAACTATGTTTATATATTTTTTTTGAATAAGACAAACGGTTAAACTTGAGATTAAAAAAGATAAACGAATTATAATTTCAAACGGAGCGAGTAGTATCACTCGGCTACGGTTGGAGGGAGGTTGTGCCTGATACGTACGGTCAAACTGGGATCTGATCGGAGTCAATGTCATCGTGCTCTCGGCCTGACATCACCAGTTCGTTACAGACTGGATTGAGAAATCATAGGGAACACAACAGCCTGTTCGTTTGCTCGTATACGATCGTGGATTATAAGCTGAAATAGTATTTTTCTCTCACACCAAACCAGGTAGCAGTAAATAATCCACGATCGTTTACTGCCTGCCGAACAGGCTGTATATATATACCCATGATGAATACCCAATGGATCCATCGACACATACCATCGTAATACCGATCCGCACGCCAACACCCGCGTCGCCGGCTAGCTAGGGCAAATCTAATCAACACCCGTACCGTCCGTACGTCGCCGATGGCGTACACGTGCACAACAGGGTGGGCTGATCTCCCGTTCGATGTCCTGGACGGTGTCATCGCGCGCCTCCCGTTCCCCGGCGACCGCGCCCGCTTCGCCGCCGTCTGCCGCGCATGGCGCTCCGCCGCGCGCCAGCTCCCCAGCCACCTCCCGTGGATCGTGTTCCCGAGCGGCACGTTCTGCACCGCCGCCCAGGGCGCAGCCTGCTTCTCGATCCCCGGACTTCCCGAGGACGCGACCTGCCTCGGCGCCGCCCACGACAGCTGGCTCGCGATCGACTGCACGGACGACGTCGTCCGGCGCACAACCAATGTGGACAGATGGTTGTGCAAGGACACGGGGGAGCTTCTCATCTACGCCAGGCGCAACGTGAAGCACAAGCACACTTACCTCCTGCACAACCCCTTCAGCAGCGTCACCGTGCCGCTCCCCGAGCTAGACGCCGTCGCCGGCTACATGGCCGAGACCTTCGACATCCGTAAGATGCTCATGCGTTCGCCGGCTCCAGACGATTTCATTGCCGTCACGACCAACAACTGCAACTACAACATTATCTTATGCCGTCGTGAAAAGGGTACGTGTGTGCTACCCTACTACAGGATCATTGATGTCGTGTTCCTTAGAGACACGCTTTATGGGATCACCTCGGGCGAAGAACTCCTCGCCTTCCACCTCGGCGAGGATGAGGATGGGCGGCCTAATGTTACCAGGATCGAACTAGTCATCAAGAACCCATTGTCTAGGTATTATTACGGTGAATTTCCATGGTCCTGGCCTCAAGACGTAGTTGACACAAGTGACAAGGAGGTTGGTCAAGATAACCATAATAATGCTGGCGAAGAGGTGTCAGATAGCAATGAGGAGGACGAAGATTTAGGCGATGACGCAGAGGAACCTAACCAAGAAGAGAATGACAACGGCGCCGATGAGGGATACCAAGAGGAGGAGGAGGAGGATGATGATGATGAGCTAGCAGACCAAGCATTTGGAGGATATCTTTAATGGCGATGACGTGGTATCGAACAACACGGAGCCTGAGGAGTATGACGAGGCGTTTAAGAGGTATAACGAGGAGGTGCCCTATGAACCCAAGGATGAGATACTTATCAGCCGATACCTTGTCAAGTCGAGGACCGGGGAGTTGCTCCTGGTGAGGCGCCGGTATCTATCATCTCCATATTCTGATAGCTACACTCATGATGTCGAGGTCTTGAAAGCGGATCTTAGCAAGGGCAAGTGGGCTGCCTCTGATGGGCTACCCAATGGAGAGGCGCTTTTCCTTGGTCAATCCTACAGCAAGTGCACGCAGGCACACGGAGACATCCAGGAGGGCTTCGTGTATTGGGTGGACGACGCATACGACACGACATCTTGCACTACTTGTAATATCGCATTTGGGTGGCCATGGGAATGCAGACTGGAGTGTTATTACTTGCTAACCTGGCTTTTCCCTCCGGAGGTAGTGGTTTGATAAGGCACCAAAATAATCTATTTATATACTTATATAGTTTATAATTCGTCCATGAAGTGGGAAGATTGACTCTTCGTGTGTGTCAGTGTGCTATATATATATATATATATATATAGGACAACCCTATTTAGTACCCGGTACTCCATAGTTATTTGGTACCCAGACCCATCCGCCAGCCCAGCAAGCCACAGGCTGCCTTCCTGACTATTTTGGCTAAGACGGTCCTGCAATGCGAGGTTTTTCAGTTTTTTACATTCGCGATTTTTTTTCCGTGCAGTTTTTGACGTCCGTGAATTTTTTTCATGCAGGTTTTTTGGTTTTCACGATTTTTTCCGTACAGCTTTTGTCGTCCGTGAGTTTTTTCTCGTGCGGTTTTTTTATTTTTGTTGGCAGTTTTTTACGTTCGCGAATTTTTTTCCATGCAGCTTTTTGACGTCCGTGAGTTTATTTTTGTGCAGTTTTTTGACATACGAGATTTTTTCCCGTGTAGCTTGATGTCCGCAATTTGAGGCAAGTTTGCCATGTGTATTTTATATTGCAACTTTCACACAGGAACACTAAATCTTTACACTTTGAAAATTGAACTACAACATTGAAGGGAATAGTTTGAGCATCAATCACGTGTACAAGTCATGGATTTGTTCACTTGTTCATTACAGCCGATTGCTGCTGCCTCTGCAATCTTCTCTAAATCTTCTCAGCCTGCACAACACTAGCTGCAGCTGCAACCGCAACAATATGCAACGATCACCCTACATGATGACATCTGAAATTAAATCGCAATACAAATAGAACATTTTGGAGATCTATAGCTCAATTAATATCAAACCTGCAGAGAGAGTACATTAGCCTTGCAGATAGATATCAGGAGACATATCCAGCTTCACTGGTGGAAAAGGAGTCACATTTTAGGCTGCAGTAGATGAACAAAAAGGAAACTCATCACAATTTTGAGTTTTGACATTGGTCAGACTAATGTTGCCTACTTCAACTTGCTCTGAACAGAAAAAGACTCGTACTTCTGCTACTGTTACAAGATTAATGACGAAATAACTACATCCTCCAATAGTCATTGGACCAAATAAGATCATTATCAGGAGCACTACCAAGCGATCAGGCTACGGCATCACTGGTCGGAGTACCTACATAATATCTATTATACAAAGTATTGACATGCAAGTTACAATGACGCCACTGGAGCCAAATTCTCAGATGTAGCAAATTTAATGAACTTAATTTAATAAACATCATCATAGTTGTCCCATTGCGGGTCGAGACGAACCAACAGAGAGGGTGAGCAACAATTAAGGTAAGACGAAGATTTGGTAATGCAATTTGCAAAAGACTGGAATTTTGGGCAAAATCAGTCAAGGTTCCTCTTCCTTAGACCCAAGAACTCGTCAAGCAGGAGGAAGGGGTTGCATGAGTTTTATAAATTACTTGAACAGAGATATAGGCGACTGCTAAAGTTGCACTAGTAGTTCCATTAAACATGACAGAGAACTCGGTGCAAGAAAAATGGAACTAGAAAACATGACCAGAAAAATGGAACTAGAAAACATGACTAGAGATTCCTAATTTGAGGTCAAAGGGTGCCACAAAACAGGAGAATCCTGGCAAAAGATGGTACAAAAATTCAGTAGTAGTAAGAGATAATCTCATGCTCTGCTCAGTTTGCTAGGATGCAAACAACATAATCCCTTGATTACAAACAACCTAAAAACCGATTTTATTTATGAGAAAATCAGTAACAATATACAATAAATTGATTTGTCTGAATAACACCCAGGGAAAACACAATAAAGGCAACTGGATGACCACAAAAAATTAAAAAAAAATTGAAAAAATGCAGCAAGACTGGGAACTGGATGACCACAAAAAATTAAAGAAATGCAGCAAGACAGTACCTACAGGGTATATGTGATGCAATGATCTGTGGATACAATTGCCATCAGTAAGCCTGAAAAATGAATAACAATCGAGTGACTGCTGTTGCATACATTCATAGGATAATAAGTAGAAAAGCTCACAAGCATAAAGCAACAAAAAATTTAGATATTTAGACCTAGACTCAACATGCCATCCCAAGTCCTGTATCCAATTGATAGAAATCAATCAGGCAATGATAATCAAGAGCATTTCAATGGCCCACATAAATCATACAGCACACATGATGGATTAAAAAGTGTGTAGCATAGCTAACTAAATATGACTGTGTGAAAAGATGTGACAAATAGAACCTAAATCCCATCCTAAGGGGAAATATAAACCACATACAACTCAACCTCCATCTATTTTTAGAAAGTGTTGCCACATACACTATTAATGGAGTTAGCATGAGAAATCGAAAGAGAGAGTGGAGAGGGAACCTTATGTGCTAGAAGAGCCAAGAGAAGATTAATATGAAGAAATCGTCATCAACAACTCCAGCTGCAGGTTCAGATATACTAAGACTAAACTTCAATGGGTGGATTCTCGATTTTGTGCAGAGATACAAAATCCAGTGCTAATCATGTTCATCTCACCTAATTCAATTGAACAACAAAAATTATCTTAGTTCACAGCTTTTCTTCAAACAAATCAATCAAATTTGACAAATCCAACAAATTTGAGGGGATTGAATTTACCTGGTGCCAGGTTGGCACTGTGGGACCAGAGTGTCGGAGTCGACTTGCGTCTTGCATAGCAGCAGGAGGCACACAATACAAACAATGAATCAAAATTTCAATGCTCACATATGTAATAAATTCCTAAACGATAAGATAAATTATTGGTGGCCACAGATCTACACAGATGCTGAGATGCCAAATACAAGCAATGAATCAAATCTACACAGAATCAAATAGTATAGTGGACCATAAAATATATTTTCTAATTTGTAAATGTAGCGTGGTCACTCAAAAATGAAAGTATAGTGCACCTTAAATTCTAATTATTTATCATCAAAGCATTATGGTCACAAATAGTGCCATGTATGGTCATTATAAAGTGTACCATAGAAATCTTATAAATAGTGTATCATAGAGATCTTAATTATCTATGACCAGGGCACTTTGAAATGAAATGGCATGTATCCTGAAAAACTAACATTAACTCTGGAACTGCTAGACATCGATAATGTTTCAGCTAGGTGTAATGAAGCATAAAAAGTTCTTAGTTGGTCCTATGCACAACAAGGCTATTTGAAATAACTGCGGAGATATTATCAATTAGTCAATTAGAGAACAAAAAAATGATAAGATTATACCCATATGTTATATTTGAGATAACTGCAGCGATACATTACACATACACATGGCTGAAAAGAGAAATTAGATTACCACTATTACCACTAGTATTCCCACTGCTACAGAGTCCATAACTACTACTAGTAGTTCAAGCATACTTAGTTGCAGCACTAGATGAAGCGGATAGGCACACAACTCATGTGAAAAATGCTGAAATGAACCATACAGGATGCATACTGAATCACTGAATGTGTGCATGACCTAAACATGTTACTTATTTTAACTATGCACTAAATTTGTAAATAATCAGGGCTTAAGTGCCATCTACCTGAACACCCTCTTGGAACTTGAATTGTTCTTTTTTTGTAAAAAGCATTAGCACAAAATCATTTGTCATACGACATAAAGATTTCATCCCAAGAGTACTTTGTTGAGTAGATAAAAACTCATGCTCTCATGCATCATTAAAATGATAAGACCAGACAAACCCAGTCAAGAAAATCATATTTGACCAAAAAGCATTAATTCACATGGCTAAATGCAAAGGCATTATCTGAATAAAGCATACACCATCATTGTGAGCCTCACACCAGAAATGCAGCAAAGCTTTTCAATGTTTAAGAGCACTACAAGGTCAATGCTGTCCAGGCAACACAAACTGCTACTACATCTTGAAGGCAGAGCTGCCACCACTGCTAATGAAGCACTACGGCCAGTCAACCAAAATAAATACCTGCTGCAGGAAACTGCCCAGGCATGTCTCACACAACCGCCTCATAAGTAGTTGTCTGCCAGTGAAAAGATTAAGAAGACCAGAACGTAAATTCAGTAACACAACTTGAACTGACAGAAATTTTCACGAAAGATGGGTATAAGTAAATAACTTACAAAATTGGTAACAAAACTCTTGGTCAGTACACCACAAAAAAAGGTATCAGAATTTCGTTGAAAATGGGCAAGCAGGATGCTCTGAGTTGTGAAAGTATGGCAGGTGCCAATACGAACAAACATGGCACAGCATGGCAGGTGCCAATGCGAACAAACATGCTTCCATGATCAGCTCAGTGTGATATCCGATCCATTGCTTTCTAGTTCCTATAACTAGTATATTATGTTTCACAAAGAATAAAGAATTATCTTTGCACCCATGAGTATTTCCAATATATAAGAAAAAAATAGTGATGGCATAGTTAATCTGAAGCATTAGCTGAATCAAAACGGAAAAGAGATTAGCATGATAAGCTCTGCAAAACAAGTAGCATTCATGTTCTATTTTGCAAGAAATACAATCACCTGTGCATAAGTTATAGCAGAAAAAGGAGCACTCCAACACTGGATACTGACCTGACCATGCAGGCTATTGATAATCTTCCACTTTGTCAGAGATGCATGTGGAGTGGATTCAGTGATACAGCAAGTCATTCGGATAGAAGGTAGCCAATTAATCTGTGAATCCAAATAAAAATACTTTATACTTACCAATCTGGGAAAAAAAATCTCAGGAAACAAATCTAATCAGTCATAAGTTTGCTGGAATCACGCATATCTGAGCATTTACAACAACAACAACAACAAAGCCTTATATCTGAGCATTTACACTCTGGAAAAAAAAGCATGTTGCACATCTTGTATCCTTATTCACAAATAAAAAAATAATAAATCTCTAATTATGCTCCTCAGCAAACAACCAACATATCAAATGATGTTAGCAACATCTCCCACAGAATGGATCAGAAATGACTACCATCCTCCCACAATCAAGAAACTGATGCACCTCAATAATTGTAATAATCTTATATCATCATCATCCTGGTACCATTTACAACTATGGAAACGCTAATAGAAATTTCAAGCAAAAATTTGAAGAATACAAGTTTTAAAAGCTAGTTCAAGAAATGAAGGCTTTAGTTGTATTCATATGAGATAATACTGAAATACATGTGCTAGCTTCTGGAAAGAAATGATTACCACTTCTAGCTCGAAATCAAGCTTTTGTCTACCCTGTCAGCGTTTTGCCATATTTTCTGGTAATCTCATATGAATTCAAAATTCAAAATTATCAATCCTAAAGACAAGTGACACATCGATAGGAACATGGAAGTGCACATAGTTCGTAACTTCGTATGTAAGAACTTTACCTTACAATGGTACAAAGTAAGAGCAACCAAATTACAACCATAGTGAAGGAAATAAGTAAACAGACTATAGAATTAATTGACCCCCAACGATTCTCAAACATATAGGCTCTTCAAATTGCAGAACAGAAAACTTCCTTAAAATAGTCAGCCACGAGGGGGAACCAAGATTAGGAGCTAAATTATTTTATTACATAATCATTGTTGATAATTAGCTTAAGGATAGAAACTATTACATTAGTCTTCCATGTGTGTTTTCAAGGAAGAAACAATGTTATGTATTAGTTCATTGGTTGGGAACAAAAGAAAAAAAAGGGTGTCCTATGTGTCTCCCCCGTCATACCGACTCAGACACTATCTCATAATCAATCTATCTAATTTGATTCCTCCTTTACATAATCAAAACCAGCATAGCACATTCAGAACAGAAAAAAAATCAAAACCTACTGCAGCACAGAGGAAGGCACAGTCAATTGAGGGCAACACAGCAGGAAGACAAAATTACCGGGAGCACAGAGACATGGACAAGTGATGTCTCAACTGACCACCCCTTCTCATTCAGCACCTGAGTGATCATAGCCATAAGCTCCATCACTACAAAAAACCCCAAACCATCACAAGAGTAAATTTGATTGACAGATTAAAAACGCATAAACTGAATAAATGAAGTTTCTGACACATTGGATGATTGGATAGCTGGATCTTCAATCAATTTGACTTAACTCTAGATGTAGTGATGATAAAGTTCAAGTCTTAATCTGCGATGCATAAGCAAAAGAAGAGCTACTTCCCAGCAAGTAGTAACTGGTTATAGTCTTTACAGTAGTTTGTGATCCTGATTTCTCTTTCTTTCTTTTTTTCTTGTAAATAACATGACCTCTTTTAAACAATGTGTCAATAGTCATGCTAAAATGCTTGATATTGGTCAAAAGATTGGTAATGAATAATACTAAAGTGCCAAAACTACCACAACAGAGTATGTTAATTGCACAGCAGAGGCATATAGGACCTTCTAGTTGAGCAGACCTTCTAGTTGAGCAGTCACATGCTGCTGCTTATTGAAGAGCCTAAGACAAAGGGTTTCCTATCAGCACACATAAATTAGTAGTGGAAATAAACAAATCAAAGGAGCAAAATTAGGATAGAAAAATAAGAAATCAAAGCTGAAGCAATTCTATAGACGTGCTAGGAACTACCCCCTGCAAGAATCAATGATTGCTTGTGTACTAATACCACAGATGCAAACTGAAGCCTCCACAAGTCACCATTACCAAATTGAATCTAATCCACAAGCAGTTAATTTTACATAAACTATCATAATACATGGTTCGGCTAGTATATGGGCAAATATGTCAGTAACTATCAATTGTACAGTAACATAAGTTAGTTATCATTGCATTTACCAACATTCAAGAGCTTGACAGATTAATTTCAGGGCTGCGATAGACATTGAAAAACACATAAGTATGAAATCACATAATCAACATGGAGCTAGCAAGCATTGCCGCATCCATGACTATTTAATTTACAAAACATTCTAATAGAAAGAGATCGATCAATTAGCTGAATTCGTAGTGTAGTCTTCTAATTAGATAGCTTTTGCTCACAACATGCATCGACTCCATAAAAAAAGAGTGAGAAAGAGATTGATCATACATATTTGGTGTTTTTTTGTATTCTAATTGCCATCAGGCATCAGGATGAGGTAGGCACACCTGCTGTAATACACAATTGTTAGTTCTTTCTCACACCTGCACAAAATCGTCAGATCTGTGTGCAAAATATAATAAAATTTTGGGGATTCAGATATAGCTGGGGTTAATAGGCACCTTGCACACGGGTACTCAGTGGGGAGTTCATCGGAAGGAAAACAACAGCAGGAAGATTAGGAAGCAACACGCCACAAGATCCACTCGGGGGTGGGACGATGACTGAAGGGGTGGAGTCATGGCGACGGCACCACAAGGACCTGACGATGAGGACGGGGGAGGGGAGCAGCGGAGGAGTTAGGCTGAACACCGACGGAATGGGGAGCAACAGAAGTGTTGGAGGGCGGTGCGTCGCAGGCGAGGTGTAGGAGGAGGTGGATGGCGAAGGGGAGTCGCGGAGCAGCTAGGCGCGGGGCGGATAAGCTGCCGACGACGAGGAGCTTAGGGGAGAGGTGCAGACCTGCGCCGGAACTCGTGTGACTAGGAAAACATCAATTATTATATGCAAATCTAGCAAATTAAAGTAAGGTTTCTCGTCACAAATAATGGCATATGTAGATGCAAAAACCTCTTATCCTCCAATATGACAGGAGCAAACAATAAATAATTAAATTATTTGCACACTACCCTAATCGAAATCTTGCCATGTGTGACCTGAAAAATCTAGGGAACCATGCATAGAAACCTAATGTGTGCCCAGAAAAAGCTTCAACTATATGCAATCTAGCAGGGAATTAGGTTCATCATTGATAATCCATATACACATGCAAAAACACCTGTATTTCCCATGATAACGAACGAACCATAAAAACCTCAGTTATTTGCATCTAACATATGAATGCATATTTTATCATGTGTGACAAAAAAACTAGTGAACCATAAAAAAACTCAATTATTTGTAGCTAAACTAGCCTAACCACAAAATTCTCATGTGAGAGCAGAAAACTTCAATTATATGTGATAATATAGCAAAGAGTTGGGTTCCTCGTCGTAAGATGAACTTACAATTTTACTGGACTCCTACAAACGGTGGGGAGAGAAATCACATGCACTCAGTAGAGTGAGGCGCAGGATCTAGATTTTGAGTTCTGGAGTTTAGAAGCATAATCCATGTGAAAAGCACCAGCCAAGCTGTGCATGTGGGGAGAAGTAGCAGAAGGCAGGAGTCACAACGAGTCGATGTTGGAAGTCAGCAGCGGACGATATGGGACGTGCAGCTGTAAATACTAGTAGACCAAATTTGTCTGCGATTTATGCATGAACTGAGTTGTAGGAACAGTTGCATGCAGTAAATATCTACTACAAAATTGATATTTCCACAACATTCGTCCGTATAAAATCTTAAAATACATTGATCTGCACGTACTAGACTGCCGCAGAATGATCAGAGAAATTGGATTTTCAGGGGTAGCTAAATAAGAAAATTTATCAAATGAAACGAAATTTAGAGCTGTGAATAATCATCCTTGGCTACAAGGGCCAAACCCTCCCTTCTTCTATCACTGTTATAATACACACAATGCAGAGCACAAACACCTTAGAATTCCAAATAAACATTTGGTTCCAAGTATTAAAGCAATATTCAAAGTTTCTAGTGTCCTAGATGCCTGCACAAACTGCAACAAATTTGTAAAAAATGAATCATAAATGCAGATTAAGCTCCTGGAAAGGGAGAACAGGAATCTGGCACAACAAATTAGGACAAAAACCTAAATCCAATCACCACTTGCACTAGCAACGGACTAATGGAGCAACATCATAATAATCGAAAGAACATGAGGGTGGAGAGGCACCTTAAGTGTGAGAGGAGCTCACAGAAAATTAATCCGAAGAAATCCAACTATTGATTTGAGGAACTACGAGCTGCTGCAAACGGAGGTGGATGCTTGGTGGCCATCGTTCCAGAGGAAGAACCTCTCACAGGTGGAAGAAGAAAAATAAGAAATTACTGTGGAAAAAATAATATCCCACAGGTGGAAGAAAAATCAGAAATTAAAGTGCAAGAATCATAAATGTGAACCACAACGCCAAGGTGAAGTCCCGGTACCTGGAGGGGACGCGGCAGCTTTGCTCGGCGTTGAACGTCTGCTGGCCAAGACGTTAACTTCCCGTGCGTCTGATTCTCCAACACTCTCAAGCAGCTGCAGCAGACCGCGGCCGACGGCGGCAAGGCGCGACTGGCGGTGTCTCGTCTCCGTTCCCTCAAGGATGCGAAGCAGGGCAGCGCCGGTGGGCTGTGGGGTGGCGCCGGCGGGGGTGGTACGGAGAAGGCGAGCTGTCAGGGTCCGGCGGAGGTGGCTTGAGGAGGAGTGCCGGCGGGGGTTGGTCCGGAGCAGGCAAGCGGATAGGGTCCGGCGGGGGTGGGTTGAGTTGCGGCGCCGGCGGGGGTTTCGTCCGGAGCAGGCGAACGGATGGGGTCTGAGCTATTCCTGCAACTGCAAAGAACGTGGGTGGGGGGTGGGCGGAGGGGGTTTGGCTGTAACGCCGCTCGGACCTCGGTCACAACAAAAATGGGCCGGGCCTAGGAGCCTGAGCGGATGGGTCGGCCTGGGAGCCTAGCTGACGTGTGCTAGGTACTGAATACTATTTGGTACCCAGGTACCATATAGTAATACTATATATATATATACACACACACACATGATTTGAGCAAAATAAATTGGCTACCGTTATCATAAGATCAAATGTTTTGGGGAATCTACTCTGAATACCTTGCAGTGCGAAGATGGATGGATGACACGTCACATCTGCCCTTGGTTTTTAAGGATTTTTATTAAGGAGTAAATTGCACGGCCGGTCCTTAAAGTATTGCGCTGATTTCGTCCAGGTCCTCAAACTATGAAATCGCACTCTTGGCTCCCCAATCTACTTAATTCGGTCCATGTAGGTCCTAAACAGCCCAGACGGTGTCAAGCAGTCGACGTGGCTGTCCACGTACGCAGGAGAGGCACGTGAGGCACACGTGACCCTCGGCAACTATTGGACAGCGAGCACATAACCATGACACCTCCCCACCGCCAACGCTGCCCGCCGAGGGCTGCACCACAACCTGAAGGGGGCGCAACAACCTCGTAGTCGCACACTGCTGCGCGTGCGAGCTCAAGCCAGCGAGCACATACGCGCGCCCTGACCGCTCGTAGCTCTCTTGGTTCGCCACGCACTTTCTCATGCGCGACACCTCGGCCCGCAGCGCCCCGTTGGGGTAGCCGCCGCCTCGCTCCGCCGCCTTGCGTGCCATGGCTCGCCCCGGTTCCGAGTATCTCCATGACCTCTGGTGCGCGCCCGCTCCATGCGGTCACCCTAGCCGCCGCCATGTCCTCGATCGCCTCCACCGGGCGCGCTCCCGCTCCACCTCGGTGACCGTTCAGCGTCCGCCGCGTGCTCGGCCGCCACCATCGTGTCCTCCGCCGTCACGTCGACATGCGTGCGCCGCCAGCCGCTTTCAGATAGTCGCAACGAGCTTTGAGGAGAAGAGTCTCGCTCTGCCGCCGCCGCGGCTTCTTCCGCGTTGGAACAGCCATGAACAAAGAAGAAACACTGCTCCTCGTCCCGTAGAGAGCTCGCCGGGCGACGATCGACGCCGAAGCGGCCGCCTCGCCGCCGCGCTCTCGTAACGACCGGACTTGACCGAAAGCGATGCGGACTCGGGATGCCGCGCAGCGATGGCGACGCGCGCCTCGCACCACGACGGTGAGCGGCCGCCGATGCAATTTGTCGCGGCGAACGCGTCTCGGATGACCACCTCGCTTCGATGAAAGAGAACGTCCCGCCGGTGGCCTCGGCCACGACGTGCATCACCGCCGCGTGGCGTCATGGTCGCTGCCGAAACCAAAGGTGTGGATGGGTGCGGACAATTCGCGGTCTTTGCCAATGCCGAGCACGGCGACGGTGGCACCAACACCTCGTAGTTGGGCACATTGCCCGCGCCAACCACGGCATGCTTTGGTTGCCCGGCCGTCGGAGAGAGAATGACGCTAGAGACGGCGTTCCGATCTGCGGCGCCGACGAGCACCTTGGCGTACCGTTCGGAGCCCTCGGCGATGTTGGTGGTGCCGCCGCTCGAGGGCCTCCACGCCTCTGTGGCGAGACTCTTCCGGTGTCCGACATGCGCGGAGCTCGTCACGCGCGCGCCCGGACAAGGACACCACGCCGAAGGCGCCGTCGTGCAGCCGAGGCCGCCGGCGACGAACCCCATGGCTCGCTTCACTGTGGCAAGCTTGTTCCGGCGCAAGCATGCTTCCGCCACGCCCGCACCGCCACGAGGTCGAGAGGAGCGCGCGGCGCGTCTCGGTCTCCGGTTGCTACCGCCGCCGCCATCGACCACCCTCGAGCCTTCACACGCACGAAACGGCGAAGTTGTCGTCGGCGACGAGTCCACGCAACAGTACCGAGAACTCGACGTGTGTCTTGATGGCCAACGCCCCATCGATGCCGCAGCCATTCGCCGGTCGTCTTCGCCAGAGGGCGCCTCCACCTCGTCGTCGCTGTCGAACACCTCTCAGCTCCCGCGAGCCGCAGCGGTGGTTGCGCATTGCGAGGGATGACAGTGACGGCCGCACTCGTGCATGGGCTCCATGCGGGAAGTGGGCGCCATGGCGGCGTGGGTGGCATCGTCGACGGCTGTGACGGCCGCACGGACGGCAGCTCGCGCCACTACGCGTTGCAGAGCGGGCAGACGAGGTGGCCGTGCGCGACGCTCGTGGAGATGCAGTGGCTGCCGAGGGTCACGTGTGCCTCACGTGCCTCCCCTGCATACGTGGACAGCCACGTTGACTGCTTGACACCGTCTGGGTTGTTTAGGACCTACATGGACCGAATTAAGTAGATTGGGGAGCCAAGAGTGCGATTTCATAGTTTTGGGACCCAGACGAAATCGGTCCAATACTTTAAGGACCGGTCGTGCAATTTACTCTTTATTAAGCACGCACTTTGCTAAGGAATTTTGGATTTGACTTTGATCACCATGTAATAAGCTAAGAAAATACATACCAAAAATACTATTTCCACAGTATCGCACTATGAACTAGATGATTTTTGTTTGCAGATTTTGGAAAACTCAAATATACGTAGCATTCTAGAAAGAATTTTTATTTAAAACCGAAAAAGAAATGGTGCCAGATATACAGGCAAAGTGAGTTGTGCTCTTGACTTTCAACATCTATTTGGAAAATTGCAAAACAAGTTGTTAAAGGCCTTAGGTCCTTTGTTTCTCTCGATGAAAAATATGGAAGAAGAACGCTCCTAGCACCTGCACGCGCACGCGGAGAGACTTCCGCCCGCACACTCCATCCCGTCCCCTGCTAATTCCCTACCTCCCGCCTGCTTCTTCCCCGCCTCCGGTGCCTTGCCTAGAAAGCAGATCCAGCAGCAGCAGGAGGAGGAGGAGGACGAGGAGGCCTACCTCGCCGCCGCCGAGGGGAGAGAGGAGGGGTTCGCCGGCGCGGGCGGGGGTGCGGGCGCAGGCACAGGGTCGCCGGGCCGCCAGGGAGGAAGTCGCCGGGCTGCCGGGGACGAGCTCGCCGGAGATCTGTCGCCGGACATCTGAGAGAGAGGAGAGCGGGCGTGCCGCATGCGTCGTGCATCGGGCGTGCGGCGAGGCGACCGGCCGGGTGTAAATAATCGGTGGGCCCCACCTTGGAGATGGGAGGCCGGAGACGGCATCATAGATCGTAAGATGGACGGTCGATGAGGCGTGCGTGCTGAGTCGCAACTGCCTGCGCAACCAGAAAGAAGCATTCCCGATTGAGAACTAACAGAAATCCGTGTGGTGTTGTAATTTCGTTTATGAGGGAAAATGGCATTTAGAAGTCTCTTATTTATCCATAAAATGAATTTTAAAAATCTTTATTTTTCTTCTACACGAAGATAGAATCGTCTTATCTGTGTACGATTTTACCTGAAGTCGTTTTCCAAAGGAACGAACTTTAATAGTCATTCAGCAATATCAGCATGGCACAAATGTACAAGCCAATTAAATTAATTAATGCCAATTCTGCCGTAAACAGTCAGTTATAATTATAATAAATATGTCAATAGCAGGAAAAAAACAACCAAAAAAATTATTATGTATACGTACGTTCTAGCCACTCAATTTGCAGCATTCACGCATACTCTACGTACTGCATTTTGTTGAATATATATATATATATATATATACTTTTTTAATAAACTTATTTGAAAATATTAATGCTACTAATATTTTCTATAAACCTAATTAAATTTAAGAAAGTTTGATCTTCACAAAACCTTAGACAACTTTTTTTAAGACAGTTGGAGCATGTATGTTAAAAAAAGGATTTTTTTTTCTCAAAAGTTTGTTGCCAAAATAATTCATCCAATATAGCTGCCTGCACATTAGATAATAATATATATATATATACACACACACACACAGCTAACAATCAAAATGAATCAAAGGTGGATTGTTTCTTGAAGTAGGTTATATGTGAAAAATTTAGAGTAGATTAATCTGCTTCCTATAATTAATCATCAGGCCTGGACATCTCCATTAAGTTACAACAGCATAGAAATATTCCAAAATTAACAAATTTATGAAACGACATCATTGCAAACACCTGGTGTGCAGGGTATGCAAAGAGGGGATTCGTACAATCAGTAACAAATTCTCTTTTCTCGGAGAAAGGTTGAGCTTTATATTAGAGATGAAAAGGGTTACAATAATCATCAACCACTAGATGGCCTACAGAGTCGGGTGCTCGCTTGAGCCACACCATCGAAGAAAGAAGATTACAAACATGCTGGCCTAGTTCATGAGCAACCCTATTACACTATTACAGTGGACATACTCAACCCCTCTAAGCTCTAGCAATTTAGCCTCTTTTGGTGAACATATCTATTGGCTCAGATCTCATAAATTTTAAAAATCATTTTTCATAAATAAAATTAAGATTGAAAACCCCCAAAATAATGCCACAATTGGGTCCATATATGGGAATATACAGTAATTATACTCTGTCATTATGGTCACAAGGGACAAGGCAAACTGAGATTCGAATCTTTGTTAAAGCATAACATGAGTAATTAATCATCGGTCAATCCATTGCTTCATATAAAGACACAAATGACAGCTTGTTCAACTGGAACGAAATTGTATAGGTGAACAATTGGTTAGATAGATGATGTGCCCTATTGGATACATTGGGATTGCAGCCAAATCACCATAAAGACTTTTGCGCATATATTACCTTGGATTACGTACCTATAATATCTAGAACTGGAAATAGAAACAAAATAAATGATGATCCATAGGGATCAGGAGAAATAGCTATACTCGTCCTTGAAGTTCCGTTGAAAGCTCAAATTCATCCCTCGATCTCGACTATCAAAATGGCCGTTTTAGTTCTCGAATTTGCAATTTTGGCTCGATCTCATCCCCGTTTCGACATGGCTCGCCACACGATGGTAGCTCGCCCTATCAGCACACTCGGCTAGGGTTTGATGCTCAACATGCAGCCAACAAGTTAAATGTCTTTCTTGCCCTTCCCACAAATATAGAAAATCGCTCAGTCAGACCGTCATGCGTGCTTGTTCCGTGCATG